TTTTGCATGCCGCAGTTGTGAGGCTATTGACCACGCATCCTCGAGAGGCCGTAGCATGGTTCTCACAGGACCGATCACCGATGGTCAATCGTTCGTTCCTGGGGGAGCGGGCACACAGCAGTTCCAAGTTTGGTTTTGGGTCAGTGGTACTCATGGCAAGTGCCTCTTTGCGATGTAGATGTTTTCGATGGTTTTGCTGTTTATGTACGCGGTGTACTTGCGATACGTTGTGTTCGAGTCCGATCTTTGTTTATCGACCCCCCTGACAGGGTTTGGATGACACGGAGGGGCCTTCTGATGACGACAGGGAGGGGGGAACGCTGGTTGGAGGCGACGAGGTGTGTTTTTCGGTGGTGTTTCTCTCCACTTTTGGAGAAACACCTAAAAGGTTCCTCGAGCAATGCTTCTTCAGCAGTAGGTGTCCCCGAATATGGCGGTCGTCCAGTACAAGCCGAGCGGGTGAAATAGGCTGGCATGGACGGAATAGCCAAGTTGTTCTACACATGTTGCAAGACGGCGGCCCCATATGTGTAAGGCGGTCGTATGTCAGCCGCCCCACCACCTTATGCGGGGACCCCAACTGTGCTACTAACCATTCTTTTTCTTGAATTGGAAACTAATTCCGCAGGCAGCAGGCGATGGAGAGGGCGTAGAAGGTTCCGTGAAGAAATTGAGTTTCCAGGTATGTATCAATTTGTGCTGAGCTACGGTGTGACATACGCATGCGATTTACGCCTTTGGGGCAAAACCGATGGACGAAACACATGGAAGAGTATTTTGTGTTGCAGCTTCTCTCTACCCCCACCCCTTGCCTGGGCTGACACTTTGTTTAACCCAATACTTTTTTTTTGTTCAAAGGTCGATGTTCGAACCACGAACGAATTCTGTTCCAGAAGGCACTCCGTGATATGATAGCACCGGTGTAATTCCCTCCCTCCCTTTTGTGTCCTCACTGGGGTCCTTGGTTCATAGGGTCATGCTACGAATGGCCGCTGCATAAATGGTAGTAGAGGTTCTTAACATGAGCTGACGAATGATGCTCAACTGTTTATATGTTGCGTTTTTTTGGAGGCTATATCATCTTCCTACCACCTGCCAAGCCAAGGTCTTACGTGAGGGCGCTATCTATATGAAACAGTCGAAGCGAACTTGACTGAGTTTTTGCCCCCTTTCTTTGTTCTGTCGTTGCATAGACTATGCATATCTTATTTTATGTTTTTGGTTCTAGAAAGGTGAACACCTCCTTCTGTGGGTAGTTTTCCTGTGACCGCCGAAGGCGTCAGTTGGACCAGTACGGACATTTGAAGGTACTGGGCGGAGACCGGAACGTTATTTTGGTTTCCAAACAACGAGTTTGATGTCCGTTCTGTTTGCGCTGGCGTGTGCTGCTGTTGAAGGCGTCTACGGGATTCGAGGCTCCCACCAGCGGCAGCGGTCCTGCGGACGGGAAGGAATGCAAGCAGAGCTGAGGCTGGTCCATCTGCGGTCACCCTCCTTCCGGTTCTCTTTCTGGACTTCTCTCACCTGCTCTCTCATTTGTTGATGCGCTTTTCGCCTTTGTTTTCGTTCTTGTTGCCTGTGAGAACGAGTAAGATTTTTGGTCCTTGTCTGTGGTGCTACGCATGTGGGGGTGGGAGGTGAAGGATAGCCGCTCCATGGTGGAGGGATTGGAGTTGTTCTCGGGGCGGGTTGTTGTCCTAAGTGTTGTTTTTTTTCTTGTCCTAGTCGAGGCTTGTTTTGGTGGACATGCAAGGTTTCCACGTTTTTCTTTCGATCACATGAGTGCAGGAGAGGTCCCTGTTTAGTGCCGGGGTGTGCGCAAAAGTTGCACCGGCACTATACCGGGCACCGGCACTATTCAAGTACAGAACGGCTTGATATTCCAGTGTGTGCGAGCCGAAAACACCGGCACTATACCCGCAACCGGCACTTTTCAACCGGCACTAAATAGGGACCTCTACTGTATATTAAACACAACGATCGATGACTGCGTATTATGACGGCAAAAGCAGGCACGCGCAAATTGCTGCCTTGATTCTGGAGAAGTGGTTGATTTTGGACAAATGGCGTTTTTTCTTCTCCGCCTCCTCTTTTTTGTGGCTTCTCGAGGGTTTTTGCCGCACTGGGGGGAGAGGGAGCGATCAGAAGCGAGTGATGGCGCTTACGTAGCTCCTTCTCCTCCTACAGCAGTATCAGCCCGCTCCTCGCGGGACGATGTAACGAGGACAACAGATGCTTGACGAGAGGCGAGAGGGCTGTAAATTCGACAGACACAGAGGAAGGTTACCGTCTCCGTCGCTGCTTCTTCCTTACGTACGTCCTGGCGGGGGTGTACGATCTTTTGTTCCACACAACAGGCGTGAGTTGACGTTTGTCTTTTTCGCCTGTAGGCACCGGAAGGGTTGCGATTGACCCGTATCCGTGGCGTGACCTACATATTTCCTAATCCCGCTACTTCCTGAAGCCGAAGTTGTCCCCCCCCCCCTCCCCCCCCCCATTCGGTGAAACATTCCGCCCTGCGAGGATTGATTCAAGGCGCGGGGGCGGGTGGGCACGCGCCTGCTTGGGGAGTAGGGGGTTTCCATATTTTCTTGTGGCGGAGGGGGTGGGTGTTGAGTTCAAACAGCGTGCCGCTTGTTGTTGAAGTACTTGTTGACTTTGAGTATTATAGTCGTGTGTATTGAACGCGTGATGACCTCGGAAGAAACGGTGTAGGACGGGTGCATGAGTTTTTGGTGGTTGAATATCTCGGATTTTGAGAAATCGACGAGTGGGGTCGAGAGCGCGACTGACAATCATCGGAGATGCGGGGGGTGTTCGGTGTTTTTTTTTTTTTTGACAGCTCGCTTCAAGAAAAGCGAGCTAAACTCACGCGGTGAAGTCCCGTCAGAATCGCTCTCCGGATGGATACGTTGTGGGGTATAGGCTTACCCTTGTCCCCGTTTGTCAGTTTTGGTTGGGCGATTCCATGGAAGAAACGCCGTTTTAGATGGGTTTTGTAGGGCCCGTGGTGTTCGGCGGACGGGTTTCTCGCGCTGAGTGTTTGCGCCACGGATGGAAAAACCTTTCCTGTTCTGTTCGTCTCTTGTTGGGGCTTGCGAGTGTGCTTGAGAAGCGGCGGAACAAGTAATAAGGCCTCAGCAACAACGGGGGTGCGGTTGAAGCTTGTAATGCTGCAAGGCAACAGTCCATCCGTTGGACGAGTTGAGTGGTGCGGAGGCGTTAGTGCAAAAACGGTCGAGGTATTGTAGCCCGCGCGGAACAGGTAGAAATAAGGAGGAGGACGAGGACGAGGAGGATGATGCGATCTTCATGAGGCGTCCGCGTGCGAGTATAGGAGTACAGCAGCAGAGGCCCCTGTTTAGTGCCGGTATGTGCTCAGAAACTTCACCGTCGCTATTCGAAGTTTTGAGAATGGGCTTTGGAAAGTCAGTGTGTGCCCGCCGAAAAACACCGGCATTATTCCGGCAACCGTCACTAGATGGGGACCTACGCCTTTTAGAGCTCGAATCCCCGCTCCCTTCCGCGGTGCTTGCTTGCTGGGTCGCTTTGCTCGTCTCTGCGAGGAGACAATAGCCGATTGAATAAATCGTTGGAGCGTGCTTAGGCGTAATAATGACAAGAGGATACCCGGCGCCCCCCCCTCCCCCCCCACCTAATGATGTATGTATGCGTGTACCGTTCTGTTTTGTTGCCGACTTGGATGCGCGGGCGCGGGCGAGGGGAGGATATGTGTGCACGAAAAGGGGGGTGAATGAGGGTGTTCGTGATGGTTTTTAGGGACGTATTTGGTGTGGCAATTGGTAGGGGGGAGTGTGGTGAGCGAAGGGTCTTCTTTCTTGTTTGGTCGATTCGGCGGGAAAACTAAGAAAAAGAAAGTGACGCTTCGGTGCGACATCCTCTGCATACGACATTCTATGCATGAGCATCTGGCCCTCTCTGTTTTCTCCTCCCTTCTCGCTGTCGGCGGTTTGGTTGGTGCGTGCGACAGGAAATAAAAAAAAACACACACACACAAGTGCGGGAGAGAGATCGAGAGCAACGCGTTCTACGCATCCTCAGTATACGCCTGACAACCGCTGCTGCTGTCCCTAAAAGAGCAGTTCCGAGGGAGACGCCGATGAAATAACAGTCGTACCTACAGCCATCAATTATCCATTGTCGAAAACCAACCCGTGTATGGTGCCCATTCGGTTGGTTGTGGGAAACACAAAGCAGAAGACAGTGGTGAGATAAAAACACTCAAATTCATTCTCGCAACCCTCTGGCCCAGCACGCTCTAGCATCCGCCTCGTCCCTCGCCTGGCTTGGACGTGTACGACGCCGGTAGATGTCACAGCAGCAGCGCGTCACTGCGATTTGTTGGCCGTGGGATGTCTTGAGAGCCAGCCAGAGCGACTCGCCTCGAGCCTTGAATTGACCGGCCGACGCCCCTTCGGGCGTCCTCCTCGGACGTTGTGATGACATCCTACCCCCAGAGAAGGAATTGGCGAGATTTTCGACGAAATGTCGGGCAGTCGGAGAGGCGTACTACAGTACACTGTGATCAACCATAACCGCCTTGCATCGCTTAGACCAGTATGCGCCCGAACTAATCCGGTACTACATGTGGCACACATGCCGGCACGATCACGCTGGATGGATGCACACAGCACTGAACTCTGTGCTTCAGCCTCCCCTTGCGGCACGCACCATGTTTCTCCGTCTCGCCTTGTGGCTGTGAATGAACGAGCAGGCGGTGCCTCTTTGGGAATCATAGTCGTGCATGCCGTAGTCGTTAGACCATTGACCTCGCATCCCTACAAAGCCGGGACGGAGCACGCCGGGTTCTCACCGGACCAGGCTCTCACATCACCAAGCGCGAAGCGCCGTGAGATATTCGGCGAGTCGCATGAAGGGTGCGCTGTGTCCTGCTTAGGGTGCTCGGCATCTTGTGCTCACTTCCTTGCGTACGGATGACAGCTGCGTATGACTTGATTTATTTTCTGGTGCTTTCACTTCCAGAGACAGTTGTAAGCACTGGGAAACTGCCTCGAGGGTGCTTGACCAATTTAACACAACGTGGTGCGATCATCCCCCTTGCGCGGAGTGAGGGTTTTCGACCCCGCACAACATGATCTACTCGACCACCATTCATGGTTACCGCCAAATAAAAAAAAGGAGGTAAACAAGAAAACGGTAACCTGGTTGCCGAGCTCACGAAGTGAATTGACTCCCATTACAACGTCGTTGCCAAGCGACGAATACCCAATCCCGATGGCAAACACCGATGGGGGGGCTTGTTTTACAACGTCGTTGCCAAGCGACGAAAACCCAACCCCCATGGCAAACACCGGGAGGGGGGGAGGGCGGGAAGCGATCAAAGCCACCTCTCTCGACACTTTCCCCCCCTCGACAACACGTCCCGAACAGCTGAACTTTACACACGTCGTGAGCGATGGGCAACCCCGAAAGGGTACAATATACGTCTGAAGAGACACCGAAGAACCATCTGCCTCCGCCACCCGAAGCTAAAGAAGCGAACACGCCAAACTTAGAAATACACAACGGGCGACCTTCCCTGCCGCTCTCTCAGCTAGCTGTTGAACATGCGTGAGTACAGCCTGTCGTGCAAGCCCTGTACGACGTCTTGCACCGGGTCGACCTGGAACGGGAGGGGAGAGGAGGGAGACAGGCGTGGCCATAGTCGCTACCATGCATGGCCGCGATACTGCCTTTGCCTCCGTGCCTGCACTATTGTAGCAGCAGTGACCAGACTGGTCCAATCGCTGCGTAGTATACGCGTACAACAGATGTACAGGCCACGCGAACGATATGGCTGTCTCCCCAGGGACTACATAGGCAGTTCGGTGCACAAACACACACAGGAGATCGTGACCTTTAAAAAGCGTTTCGTGTTTTCGACCGTACCGAGACCGACGTATTTTCGTTGATCAGCAGGTTGGCGCGGTCGATGTCGACAACAAAAACACACACAGAACGGGTTCCATGTGAAGACAAGCAACACACGAATGCCTTCACACACGCGCTCGCCCCCCCCCCCTTCCGCCAACCAAACAGCCCGGCGGTTTGACATCAGCACAACCAACACAATAGACCCGCGCGACAGAGTTCACAACACGAGCAGAACACCAGTATCAACACAAAATACCTCCCACCTGACAGACGCGGCCAGCGACCCCGCCTCCCCCGCCCCACTCTTCTGACAATAACCGCCCCGGCAAATCCGTTCCTTCTTCGGTGCTGTCGTCGTCTCTGCCACTGACCCCCCCCGTCGGACCTCCGACATATCCGACATTTTCGACATCTCCCACCCTTAGCAGGGATTCAACGTACCCGGAGAGGCTGCTGACGAGCCTACCCGCCTCCAGCGGGCCTATTAAGGACAACCTTCACAAAAAAAAAGGCCGTCCGGGTGTGGGCGCGTTTTTTAATCAACAACGAATGAGAAAACAAACGGAAACAAGCACGGGCACCCGCTGGAAACAACTCCGGGTTGCACAGCTTTGTCACGCGCAAAACGAAAAATTCCGGAAAGAAAGTCAAAGCAAGTGTATTTCGAGGACACGCACACAGGCATGCGGACATTTGATATTCGAAGAGGAGCAGTGTTGGTAGACTCTTGTTTGAAAGGCGTGGTAGCTGTTCCGGAAGGCCTAGCCTGGTCTTTTCTGCGGCTCCCCCGCGGGCGAGCCAACTCCCCGGACTGGCTTGAGTCTTACTTCTCGGGTGTCGTTCTTCCATGACTGTTACCGCAGTTGATGATTTATTGCCAGTCCATAGCAGCACGTAATATCCTCTTGATTTTATTCCAAGTGTGTGCTGTACCCCTTTTCGGGTAGTTTGACCTGTGGCCATGGAAGGCGCCCAAGTCGTCGGTACGGACTCTAAAAGGTACTTTGCAAAGACCGGAACGGTGTTGAACGTTAAGATTGCAACAACAACAACAACAACAACAACAACAACAACAACAACAACAGTAACAACAACAACAACAACAACAACAACAACAACAACAACAACAACAACAGCAACACCGCCAACAACAATAACACCAGCAACATGCCTCGTCGCCGCGGACAAGACGTCTCTGGCCACGAGGAACATGAAGGCCCGCGCCGCCTCGTTCTCCTCGATGCCGAGAGCCCCGCACACCACTCCGAAGGCCGGAGCGTGGTGCCCCCGAGCGGTCACGAGCGCCGACGCCGCGCCAGCCTTCTTCTTGCTGGTACGGGATTTCTCCGTCCCACTTCCGCCGCTTTTTCCCTCGCTCGTTGCCTGATCGCGGCCGCCCCCGCCGGCTATATGAAGCAGTTTTGGAACATTGCCGCGTAGGGTGAGGAGGAAGGTTTCGCGAGTAGCACGGTTCAGAGGAAAAAGCAATCCTGCCCCTGAGCTTTGCGGGTGTAGAGTTGATTATTGCAAGCTTCTACCTTGAGGATACTATGCCTGTTACCACGGAATACGCGCCCGCGTCGGTTGGACCAGCATCGCAACATATATTTAACTGCAGAGACAACAATGACAACAACTTCTCAAACTACAACGATACCAACAACAACAACAATTAAGTACTACAACAGGAGCTACCATTTTGCATCCAGTTGGAGCTGTTGCTGAATCTCCTTCCTGCATTTTTCAGCCTCGGTACCTCCACGAGATAACAAACGAGGCGCTACCAGAGAGAGGCTGTGCATAGAACAGTTTTGTGTCCGTGATCGACAAGGAACAAGAGCTGTCCCAAGACAGAGGAAGGAGGGTTTCCCGTGCCGCAGGCCAAGAGACGAAGAAACGAGGTGCCTTCATTCACGCCCTTGCCCAGAAATATTAACAAGAGAAGTGCCTCAACCTGAACCTGACACCGCGAAGCTGCGACTACTGTCTGCGTGAGGCGTCATCGTAGTTGGGGCAGCCGTTTCACTCGAGAAACGTCGATTCCGCCGCACTTTGGAAGAGGAACCATGTACTACCGTCATTTGCGCAATCATTGCGCGCATGTATGTAGCAGCAGCACCTTCGGAGAATGCGGCGGATCCTCCCCGCCGGACCAAAGCCCGGAACTCGATGATAATTGCGCCGCATTCTTCCCCGAGGGGGAACATCGCCTGAGCCGCTCGAAGGAGCCCCGCCCCCTGCGCCAGAGAGGCTCTCCTCGCCGCCTGGGGACAGAAAGCCACAAAAGAGATCGACTGTTCGAATGCCTGACAAAGCTTGCGGATACGCCAGCCTTCGGCGTTGTGTGTAGACTTTGCACTAAACGACAATTGTATTAAAAAAAAATGTATGGGCTTGAACACACAATAAAATAACAGTAGGATTCTTCCCCATTCGCGGCAAAGACTTCCACACATCCCCTTCGACTGTGGCTTTGTCTCGAACGGATGGTCTGCCTTTGTTGGTATGCATTTTCTCTACAAAAAGGTAAAAACTTGACTCAAAAGAAGCTAAGTATCCAGCAGGTACTTCCCCCATTCACTGAAGAGACTTTCAACACATCCCCTTCGACTGCTGTGGCATTGTCTCGAACGGATAGTCTTCCTTTCATATTATGAATATTTCCTAAACGACAACCTGCATGTCTGGCGAAAAGGTGTCGCTTCGCACCAGAAACACAAGGGGACAAGGGGGGAAAAATATGAACGCCCACCTCCGCCGTGATGCAGGCGTGAGCAACGGAGTCAACCTCCAACCAAGCTTCCAGCGTGCGCGCCCTCCGGGCTTCCCGCAACAACGGGAGTTGCAAGGAGGCGGCGTTGGCCAAGGCGCCGCGGACAAACCTGAGCCCGCCGCGAGTCCGTAACCGTCAAAGCGAGCGGACGGACGCAGCGGGTCAGCTTGAGTTGTCTCTGTTGTGTTGGGGTTGATGTGCCGCGCCCTCTCATGTTGCATGCCGTGTTAAGTTGTTAGGTCATTGATCAGGAGGTGTGTGTGTGACTGTGTGATTTCGCCGAGGGGCTGCGTTTCGGGGTGCTGTCAAGGATGCCAACAAGAACGGCAACGACGACGACGACGACGACGACGACGATGACAACAGTAAGAACGTGAACACTATCAACACGTACCGGAGAAGGCTCCCTGTATGCTTAGCTCTGACGATCCCCTGCGCTGCCGCTGCCTCCAGCCCCCCGGAGTGCGCAAACCCGCCGGTGGGCAAGCCTGAGTCGCAGAGCTGCCACACCTGCGAAAATACGTGGGAGGGGCGGAGGAGACCGGCTTGACAGATGCTTCTCAAGTTATGCCGGGTGTTGACCGTGGTGTGATGTTTGCCGATAGACAAACTGCAGAGATACTGCAAAATGAATTACGGATAGACTACATGAAAATTCCACGCCGATGCCGAAAGGGGGACGCTTGTTGCAAACGCTCCCGGTGCAACAAGCGGTTGACTTGAGAAAGACGTGTCAACCTACCCGGCCGCTACAAAACTCGGGTCAACGGCGCGAGGTCATGCCGTGCCCTCTTCAGCAGGCGTCACCCAAACGAGAGCGCGGTATCTCCGTAGACCGGCCTACAAGTGCCGTTGCTGCCTGCCCGCCCCCAGAAAAGAGACGTAAGAGGGTGTGTGCCGAAGAGGCATGTGTCGAAAAATGTTGGACTCGCATCGACGCGTTTTGCACTCAGCGAGCAACTCGTGATTGACGCTCTGGTGTGATACACAAATCTCGAAGACGTCGTCGCCGCCAACAAGAAGGAACGTTTTTTCGTCTATACTTGCTGAGCCGCGTGCTTATCCTTCGCTTTCGATTTTCCAATATCGAGACAAGCACCAAAATCTTTCCAAGATCCGCTGGCAGCAGCTGGCAAGTTGCCAATCAGCAGCATACTTTATTCTCTCTTTTCGGTGTTCGAATTTCGATTGTATTTTCCTGCGACAAGGCCCACAGATCACGGAACGATCTTGATCTGAAAAGCACACCCTCCCCGACGACGAGCGCTCCCCGGCTATGCACAGGGTCGCGCGGAAACCTTAACCTGCTCCAGGGTATTTACTGAACACTATTCTGTTGTGGGTACCGACGGAGTGCTTTTTCCCGACTCAGCTTCCGAGCGGGGCAGAGTGCTCCTACTTGGTGTTGGTTCTATTCTGCTTTCCCTTGCTCTACCCTGCTTCTCGCCGTTCGGTATTACTTGTGTTGGTGGTGAGGGTCACTCTGAGCCTTTAAAATTATTTCGGATTCTATTCTTCCTCCAGATCAGGGCTTGGCCACGGCAAACTCTCTCCTTTGAAGTGTAGGGAGCATGTCCCATAGGTGCACGCCAGAAGGGTCCAAGCATGAGGAACAAACCCCAGAACGAGGGCACTATTTGTGAATTGTGTTCGGAGCCCGAAGTAGAGTCATCCGGCCATTAGTTCTACAACGAAACCTCTTCCCAGCCATCAGCTTGCCGGTGAAAGTCTGCTGCCGTGCGTAATATCAGTGCATCTCACCGTCCACTGCGCTGCGCCGTCAGCAAATCGGAAGGCTGTCCCCCCCCCTGAGGCGGTGGCGGTGTACTGCACCCCGTGTCCCCCGGCATGAACAATCAGCAGCAGCAGCAGCATCAGCAGCAGCAGCAGCAGGGAAATTACATACTTCTAACGCGTTTTCCTCTCATCCCCGACAGCAGCAGTTGAGGACCTTTACGGCAAGAGTACAAGATTCAACCTGCGCCCATTTCTAGGAACACGCCCCCCGGTGGCGTCAAGAAAGGGACGATCCACGTACACAACGAGGCAACTCAAACGTTTACAGAGCGCCGGCATATGCACGGTGTCTCTAGCGGAAAGTCACTCGGTGTTTCGTTCGACGAGGGATGTGCAGAACGTAGCAACCTAGATGAATGCAGGGCAATGATGCTGGACGAGCATACACCCTCCGCCCCAATGTTGCTCGCGAATCTCACACCCACAGCCGCGTACAGCAGTGTGTTGCTCAAGAATCCCGATACACGGAAATCGAATGGTAACGCATGCCACCGCTGCTTTCGGGGCTGCAAGCCTCTCTCTCCCGCCGTAAGATGCACCGAGCGAGAGGCAGACAGCATCTGCGAAGAAGCCACTGGTGTTGTAGATGTATGCATACGGTATGCAGCACGTTTCGCTTCTTGTGTCAAGCGCGGGACAGCAAATTATCAGAGTCGCTGGAACGCCTTCTGCGCCTGCGGGCTGCAGCGGTACCGACAGAAGGAGCCGGGCATCTAGACCCAACCCTCCCTCATCTCTTCCGCATGGGCCATCCTCTCTTTTAACGCCAACAACACCCTTACCGCGTCGCCTGCACGGGCCCCTCAAGATTTTGAATTAAGAACCTTCAGCAGTGCTGTAGTTCTAATAGTGCCGATGGACGCACTCCGGTGTTGGACAATCGGGCGTCAACACCTAGCATTGTGTGAATCTCTGCGCTTGCACAAAGTGGGTCTACCGGAATTAAGTCACATGGTATAGGGTACACACACATGCGCTACGGCTGCGCCATAGGTACACAGAGAGTAGAGGACTGCTTTACTAGCGAAGCTGGTACACGATTGATTACACGGCAGCAGCTACACCTTCTACACAAAACATATACTGCCGCTGCTGCTGTACTGGTGTTGTACACCTACTGCACATGTTTGCTGCTAAACACGCCATCATATGAATTCCCCGTTTACCGGCAAAGATGGAGTTGTTCCTGCCACATCCTGCGTTGTTGTGCCCGTCGTTGTCGTCATTTCGCTCAGGAGTGCGGATGAGGCACTTGGGTGCCCAAATTCGAACGCAAAAAACACCAATCTCCGGTTGCACAGTCTCGGGGTGCAGTGTACATTTTGGGAGATCTGGTAGATCGATTCTCGGAGATGTTGCGTCTGGGCAAGTCTCTGGTCTTGATTTGGTGTGGGTTTGCGGTTGACCACCCACCGCAAGAAACCATGGTGAATCGGGGCTGAGGTGGGTCGAACGCTGTCAGTCACGCACTGCATCGCGGTGGTATGGTATCCATTCCGTGTCACGGCACCATGTGGGTGCCTTGGAGTTGTGTTCTCCAACTGGCTCCAAACTCCATAGACTACCCCGCCACTGACCACTGACAGCACACAGCAGTGAATCCGTGAACACATTTATTTCTCTAAGCAGGATGTACAAAGATAATTCAGGGTAGGTCTGGTTGTTGAAGCTATATTCGGACATGTGCTGTACATATCTCTCTTAGCGAAGAGCCCCCCCCACAAAAGCTTCCTGACAAAGAAATGCAGTACAGCAGTACGTACGCGGTGAGCACGTCAAGATCACCGAGTTTGTGTGTGTTTTTATTACTAGCATCGACCGCGCTAACCGGCTGACCAATGAAAATACGTCAATCTTGGTTTATGTGTGCCCGCCCGCTCCCGTTGTTTATCTCCTCCACTTGCTCCACTTCTGCAGGCAAGGTTAGAGCGCGCCTTGCTGTGTCCACTGCGGGCGTCAGCCGGGCTAGAGAGCTGAGGGCTTCCTGTCAATCGGGGGACGGTGTGGATTCGCGCACCTACTGCTGTACAATGAACGCACCGCATGGCGGATCAGATTGGAAATTTACTGAAACAATGTGAGGCACACCGAGGGAGAGGGTTGACACTTTGGCTATCGTGTAGGTATCACGTTGCGCGACCTCCCATGGTGAGGAACCCACGTTGAACCCCACTAAGAGAAAACTTTCACAGGAGGAGCTAGCAGTCAAGCAGCACTCGGATGTGATGGGATTCTAACGCAACACACTGTGCCATGAGACAGCAGCACCACAGGCCAGCAGAGATATACTTCGATCGATCTTCCTGCTAGTTGAAAGTCCTTCGTACACCGCCGGCTGCATGATCCCAGGTATGATGGGCCCTGCCCTGAGGACAAGCACTACACGCTCGTTAGAGAGCTTCGGTGACGAAGGGTCGCTGGACCGAAACGAGGAAGCAGCTCGGCCCATAATTTTGTAAGGGGTGTATAAGCTGAAAGACGAGTAAGCACGATGTTGGTTGATCGGCCTCTTGAATGCCTGGTAGATCGTTATCGTGCAGAAAGTCACAGCGGTTGGTGAACCGTTCATCCGCGTCTGCTCCTTCCCTGCGGCCCCTTCGTCTTCGATCTGATCGATCGAGCTGTGGGCGTTCGTCCTCAAGCAGTACAACACGAACAGACGGGCACAGTCCAGGGCCAAAGGCTCTCCTTCACGCTGGTTTTGATTTTCTGCTGTCGCTTTCGCCCCGTGCGCCTTGCAGGCACAGTATCGCGTTTTTGCCCTCGTCTCTTCTCCGGATACTGCAGTAGAGACCCACAGACAATCGGAGAGACCATTACAACAGGTGCAAACGAGACCCGATTCGGGTGAGAGGACATCTGCGGCGTTTGGTTGATTCCTTTTCGGCGCGTTGTGCCATCACACTTTCTACGTCTGCAATACATCTCAGTACTGCTGTTGCTGCTGTTGGTTTGCGAACGGCGGGTTCGAGGAAATGCCCCTGGTGTGTGTGAAAAGCTAGCCTGTGAGCATGTGCCCAGGGTGCGCACTAACTCGATTGGTTATTTATTTTATATATTTTTTCTCCCATCATTGGACTCTGTCGTCTGCCCCTCTGGCCCCTATCCTCCACTTCTACCAGCTAGACGACCCAACCGGGGTCACATAGGAGGGGGGGGTTGGACCCCCTCCTGCGGTTCCTGTCTGAGGTATTTTTATCGCGAGAAGGGTACAGCAATCCCTTCTCTCGCGACTTATGGTTATGTTCCGCACCAAACATGACGTTCTTATTGTGTTCGGTCACATCACAAGCAGCCTCTCCCTCGCCGCCTATACCATGAAAGTTCAGGAGGGGTGTACGATGGAGAATCGGATTTTCGACAGCCGTGGAGGAGCCGGGGAGGAACGGGGTCTGTTGCTGGACAGCTGTGAATGGGCGGAAACAAATTGATTGGTTGACTGTTGGTTGGTTTATGTTTGGTCTGTTTTTCCTGAACACCACGGGTTCGCTTCTTCTCATGTACCAGGTATTGGGGGGGAAATGGAGAGGGTGATGTTTAACTTGACGAGAAAAGGGATTCGGTATCTATTTGGGCCGCCAAAAACGACGACGACATTTTTGTGAGCACAGATCCACGAGCGAAGGTCTACGGAATCTGTTTTTGAACGTCAACAGCAGTCCCTCCTTCTGGCCAAATCCCTCGGTAGGGGTACAAGGAAAGAGTCATTCCTTTTTATTGCCTGGGTGGTGAGTGGTAGATCCTCATCGTTGTGTTTTGCCTGGCCTCGGGTGCGTGTCGAATGCAAGCGATGAGCTCTACTGGTATCAATATTTCATCCTTTGTCCATCATATCGCCTGCGACGTGTGGCTTCTTGAGGCCTTACACCTGCTTTTGTAAAGCTATCACTGCTGTGGTGTTGGTTTTCTGGGTGGTGCCTGATTCTTTGATTTTCAAGCATGCACCACGGCAAGCGTCCGCATCAGTTGGACCAGCACGGAAAGTGAGCAGAGATCGGAATTTTTCTGAATGTCAAGACAGCAACAACAATACACCACTCCGTTTTCTCCTTCATGCAAAGTATACGCCACCAGGCGGTACTCCGAAGGCAGCCTACATCACCTTTTCTGTCGAAATACGTTCGCCGGTCCCATTGCCGAGATCCACCAACGAAGACATTGATGTGGGCGTTGTTTGATATGACGCCCATGCTATACGGCCGTACACATGATTTGCTTTGTGTTGACGCAACCGCCGGATTCTTCGAATTACTCAATTCGGATATGTTGGTGCAGGTTGCACCCCCTCGTACGTTTTGATATCGAAAGTTATCCCAAATCAAGAGGAAACAACAGTGGCTTCTCTCTAGGTGGTTGCTGGCTCCGGGTCGGTTGCGGTTCGCCCAACTCTGGGTTGGACTATGTCACTTCCATCTATTTCAAATGGTAGTCCGTCGTGAGTTCTGAACCAGAGTTCAGCTTGCCGGAACTTCAGCTGAAAATTGAGTACACAGTTTCCTCGTCCTCGTTATTTCACCAAATCAAACCGAGAGTTCTTCAGTGGATCTTTGTGTCCTAACTCTTGGTCTGGGTGTTAAGTCTTGGGGCTACCAGTTCAGTGTTTTCTCACCCACGGTGAAGCACAGCGTTTCTGCTTACTACGAACACGTCTGCGCATCTTGGTCAATGTCAAGTACCACACTATGCGTATGCATGTATGTGTTACCTGTGTCGGTTGTTATTGAGGTTGTTGTTGTCTTCACATCAATAACCGTTCCGTTCTCTCTACCCAGTAAATTCTTTTGTCCGTACTGAATATAGTCACGCACTGGACGAGGTCGGTTCCCGTGGTCACAGGCTAACTTATACCCAATAACGCTACAAGAAAACAAAATGCACCCGAAGCGGCCGCAAGTCAATAGGAATCAACGACAGATAGCCTAGGACTCTCCGCTGGCCTGTACACGCTGTGCGCGGTAACCATAGACAAAAAAAAAACGAAAGTAAGAGAAGCTCAAGAAGAAAAAGCCAGATGAGAGCAAAAAATGAGAAAAAATACAGCGAGAAAGACGCACGCCAGAACCACTATTTTTGTACTACTGCTGTATTTCTACCGCCGTACATGTAGCGACCAACAATGCAACACAAGACAAAACAAAAAACGGGCCACCCGAGACAGCAAAGAAAAGCGCGTCATCTGCTCGTGGGGGGTTGGTGCAATGGTGCAGTGACGGGGCGGGGAATATTAGTCAATCAAGGGGTTGATCCGGCACACACAGCACTTCGCCCCACTCGTTCCGTCTCTTCTCGTTTTCTGTCTTCCCTCCTCGCCGTCTCGTCCGTCTGCTGCACCCCTCCCGCCCCAGTGGTTGTTGCCGTGTCCGTGCTGTGCCGGGCTTGTTGTTTCTTTTGAGCGCTCGTTGTCGGCTAGCCTCATCTTCATCCTTGTGCCAGGAGATCATGAAGAACAACCTCTTTTTTTCTCCTTCCAGTACCACCGTGCGCCACGGTACACCCCGCTCCATCTCCGTTGCTTCCATCCAAGTTGTTGCGGGACTCCAAAGAAACATGGCTCGGTGTCGATAGTTCCGTGCTCTGCCTCGAACATCTTGAGGTTGTCCTTCAGGCACATCTGGCGGGTTCCGCGCTAAAGCCGGCACCCCCGTTTTTGGATTGGTTGAAAAATCGATTTCTTCGTACTTACGTGTAGAACGCTTTGAAACGCCCAAAAAAGGCGAAAACAAATTGGCCGGAAAAAAAATGTTCTCCTTCGTGTCGAACTCGGCCTGATTTTTTTTTTTCGACGCATTCCTGATGTTTTCGCTCTTGGACCACGGCGGCGATCGAGTCCCCTTGGTCGAATTAGGCGGGGTGGGGCCACTCAGAAAGTTGGTCAGACGAAAACTGAATGTGGGAAAAGCACGTCGAATTGGCCTATCTATCTATTTTCCCTAGCTAGGGAAAAGGCTGTCTGGCTGTTCAAGACATGTAAGGGACGTAAGTAGCACAGATACGTTTTTTTCATTTCTGGCGTCCAAAGCGTGTTCAGGAATATCATATCCATCACCCCTGAATCTTTCGTATAAAGACTATGCATACGATTTGGAGGGGTTTGAATTTTCGTCGGGGGGCTCGCAGATGCGATATCCCTCAGTTTTACCCACTTACTCGTGCATAACTCGCCACCACCATGACCACATTCAAAAACTATATGTTTTCCGGGATCGCCGTGATCTAACTGAACTGTGTGCAATATTTCAGAGCTGTCAACCCATATCTTGCCTAGTTCTGGGACAATCAGGAAAATGTGCCGGCTTCAGCTCGGAACCCGCCATCTATCTGCCACAGCAGTTTAGCTCCAATTTCCTCCTGCCTGGGCCCTCCCCCCCCCACCAGCTCGCCAAACATGAACCGCTTCGGGAGTCGCCCGTCTGGCTACTGCCTTGCCAATACTCCCGCGTACAGCAGGCGCCGTTGCCAAACAGCAAGGCTTCCACGCTTGGGTTGGAAGTTGCTTCGACCTATGTATGCGGAGATACAGGGTACGTACATGCTCACGTACGTACAGCACGTCGATAACTTGTCTCCATGTTCGTACGTTCGGTGATCGATCCCGCAGTCTTTTAGGATCTGTAAACTCTCTAGGTCATTGCCTCTCGTGCCGTGTTGACCTGCATGTTGTTGTCGTTCACCTTGCGGATGCTTGTTGTTTCATGGGTGAAAATGAAAAAGAGAGCACAAAAATAAAAAAGTACAGTTAGTTGAGGATACACACGGAGCCAGGACACTCCCGCAGTAACTTCGCATGATGGAAACAGTTAGAACGATGGTAAATCAGTACACGCTCTGGGTACACGCACGTGGGACGGTACAAGGTATGCTGTATATATGTGATAGCATCGAGGCGTGAAAAATAACTATTCGTTGGAATGAGCAACTAAAATAAGCAGATGGGCATGTCTCCACACTACACCGTCTGTCTCTGTGGCCACGATTCCCAATGTACATGAACAAGGAACGTGGGACCCGCACCCTTTGGCAATCCAGGGCAGATGGTTGATGCCTACGCAATTGATGTATTACTGCAGATCTACACATGTCCATCTTTTGTAGAAAGTCTACTGCTGCATGTAGACGACGGCACATGCACGTATCTACAGAACTCCTCCCATAAATAAATACGCTTGTCTGTGGAGACCACCTTCATAAAGGTTGAAACTCCCCAACGTCTGTCGAGGACGAAACCCTCTTTTCCACATGTCATACAACATTAGTAAATGACCGTGGGCACACAGCCGACCGAGAAGCCGGAGAAACGCCGACGTTCCGTTATTTGTAGTCACCACAAGTAAGTCACTATACTAAGAACAGCAGCTAGAGAGCGCTACTACTGTTGTAGGATACACACAATCACCGGTGGCCATTCGGCCAACCCTGGGGACCCCGTGGCAGGGGGGTCAACCCTATAGGGACACCCTGTGGGGTCCGGGTGGCTGGTTACTACAAGGTCCGGGACAGGACCTTGATAATAAGGTGCCCTTCCTTGGGGGGGTCGAAGGTCATTCATTACCTTGCACATGTCAACACCCTGAGCTGGATTTAGGCTATGCCCCTGTCAGGGTCATGGTGTCAACAGGATTATAATACAGGCCCTGGCAAGGTGCTAGGGTTATGGCTAGGTTACTCCATACAAACCTTGGGGTTAGGCCCACCTGTACGATGTATAGGCCAAGACCTTGTCAGGGTTAGGGTTAGTTCAGGGTGTGAGGAAAAACCCTGGTAAGTAAGGTGTTGTTCCTAGGGGGTGGTCGAACGCCATGACCTTGTACGGCCCGACACCTTGGGGTAGGTTATCGGACCGACCCTGCCAGGGTCGCGGTGTAAATAAGGTGGACACAGGGATGCTGGCAGGGTTCTAGGCCTGCTGGGGATGATAATCAGGTACCTTTAATACATCCTTCACCCTGTGCGGGGTATATCGTGGGACCTTGTCAGGGTGGCGATAGTCATTACAAGGTAATTGGTCAGTCCTGGTAAGGTTACGGTTGAGACACGTCTGGCCCTCTATCTAGTGTTTTTTTCTTGATTGAGGGAGTATAGTACGTATGTATGTCATTTTCGTATTCACAGACCATACATAGTCCGTGTGCACAAAAAACATAAGAATAACATTTGGCCGTATCTGAAAAAAGGCTGTCCGATTCGTCTACTACATCATCGATTGATCCATCTGAATCTCATATCGCGATAATATTAGGGAACAAAAAAAAACGCGCAACAACAACAATCAATTGCACATGAGAAACCACAACAACACTCTCACCTCTCTCAAGAGCACGAGCCCTTTTCCCGCCCCAAACTCTTTGGTCGACAACGACGAGAAGAGCTCCCGCATCGACGAAATATTATCGTGCACACAATGATTTGATAGCAGCAGCTCTCACGGCCGCGGGATGCTTCGTTCTCCCAAACTTGGTCGACACCGACGACGGAGAGCTCACATGGACGAAATATTTCCTACACTACTAGGAAGAAACCCGGGATCGTGCATAACCACCCCCCCCCCCCCCCAATCTAGACTTCAGTGGGTTGGCGCTGTTGGCAAAGCGCTGTAAAACACGCCACCCCAAATATAGCCCCCATAGTATGCGCTACCAAAGACGCGTGACGCATGGATGCGTGGAGTGAGGATTGCTTACGAAAACCTCACAGGTTGAGTGATGTAGGAGATTGCCGGACACATAGACGTGTTGAGTGATTA